TGGTTTGGACCTTGCTTGTTTATTGTGGCTGCTGATGAAGCGGAAAATGAGTTGATGGTGTACGAGTTTCTCAGCCTTTATGTAAATGCCCTCCATCGGTATTTTGGCAAATTTTCTGAGAGACATGTTCTCTTTAATGTTGACAGACTTCACATGGTCCTTGAGGAAATGGTTGTGGATGGGGAGTTGGTTGAATCCTCTATTGGAAATGCTTTGAGCATAGTGCAAATGCTTGATACTGTAGCTTCTAAGTCATAGTTCTTAATGCATTTTATCTGGTTTTCAGTACATTTTACTGTTAACCCACTATTAGATTAAGTAGTTATATGCCAGTATCATTTATTTTAACCCACTGCCACCCAGTACATTCACTGTCCTCTAGTTGTCTTTTTATTTTGTTTACATACATGGCTTTTCAAGTTCTAGTCTTCAAAGAGTCAGTTGTTATGCCCACCAGACCTCACGTGTTTACCTCATTCCTTAAATATTTGGGGAAAAGACATTTCTTTAAAATCCTGTTGTTATCATTTGTAATATTATGTTAGTGATATAATTTTTAGAATATTAACATTAGTAATAGTAACAAATGCGTAAATGTTTCTTCCTGAGAATTAAAAGGACAGTGTCACTACGCGAGGGCAGGTGTGTCTAGTAATGACAAAGTACTTGTAGAGCCATCTGTATGTAAAAACTTATATTCCAAGACTGCAGATGCCAGGAGGGCATTGTATGAGCCTTCCTGGCATCAAGTTAATAAAAGGGAAAAAATGCAGTGTCCTTTCTTTCTTTTCTTTTCATTCAAAAGAAAAAGAAATTCAAATATCAACCATGATTCAGGGATGCAAAATGTGACATCCACAGCATAAAGTAAAGTGGGAACACCAAGCCTTAACAGTGGCTAATTAAACCTGTATAAGCATTGATTCAACCTTGTATTTTTTTTTTTTTTTACATATTTCAATTTTCATATTATGAGTATTTTTCTGTGGGAGGTATTGTTAATAGTAGGGTATATGCAATGATTGAAAGAAACAAAGTTTATGTATGTGAATTTATTAAACCTTCAGGAAATGCTGCTTGTACACCTTAAATTATCAATAAAATTAAATAATATTGCGCTGTATTTGTGGCACCTCAACAACCTTCCTCACAAATATAGGATAATATGTTATACATTAATTTGATTAAAATCTGATAATAAACAATTTAGTATATCTAAAACTAGGAAAAACATCAAAAGTTCACACTGACTAGTTTTATGCCTAAATCACATTTTTACATAAAACATTTATTACACCTTCATAAGAATACACAGGATTGATGTTCATTACACAATTAAATTTCACCAAATTACAGTTAGTAAATATTCTATATTTCTGAACTTGTTAAATATTCACTTCTTCCTTACCACTTTCTAAACTCATGTCAGCATACTATGTTGCATATTTAACTGATATTACATTGATAATTTGGATTTTTGATAAGTACAATCCATGCAAAGCTTTCATAAGTACTGTAATATATTTCTCTTCCATGACCATTATGAGCAATGATAAAATATACTGTAATAATAACAATATCATTATTCATATTCATATGAGATTGTAATTATAAGAAAGTTCCTATTCACTCTGAAAGTAATCTTTCAGAGGTCACTCAATTCTTAACTTGGAGGTATCAAAATGTGTACCACCATGCCTACACACTTCTGTCCAGGTCTTTACTAATGCAGTGTTAATATAATCTTACTCAAAAGCACTGACTTAAACCAATGATGCCAGAAGTGCATTTACACATGCACTGCTCACTGTGGTTTTGTTTTATTAGCTTCTAGGGAGTCAATAACAAAGCATACGTGAAGTAACTTGTTCACCCTTTGTCTTTATTACTGTTAATATAATAATATGATAATGGAAATGATAATGATGATGATAATGTTAATACTGATTAAAAAATAATGCAAATAAAAATTTCAGAAAATTCATGGAAGGGGTTAAAAGGTGAGCTTTGGCAGACCTAGTACTTGACTCATTGATGACTCAGCACTTGTAAAGCCATCTAAGTGTGAACAAAGTAATAAAACAAGAGCACAGTAGGCAGTGCATGTACCCTGCACCAAAGGGTTAATTATCTAAAGACCACAACTGATGTTTATTATCTCGAACAATAAAACGTGAAATCATTTCTGACATGTTCCTACAATTAAGTGAGGTGTACTGCAGCATCTAAAATATAATAATATAAACCTAGACCAAAAATAGTCATAACAAGCTCTAGGGCAGAAAACCCTGGAATGATAAGATTGTCATGTCAGCAGAAGTTGGAAGCTACTTATTACAATACTCAAGCTAAAATTAGACACCAGGATAAAGAGAAAAAAAATTACCTTAATGCCATATCCTGTATCATTAACCAGGATTTTCATTATCAATATCATTAATCTGTGTTATGTATCTACCAGTCTTTTCTTCTTTCCTGATTCACTGAAATCTGCAAACATTACAAGCTTATCACAAGAATTAATCTGTTTTAGCTCAGTAACCCTCATCTTGATACAAAAAAATTCATGCACATTTCCTGACATTACTAAAATATATCTGCTGCAATTCCACTATTTGCAAATCAGAGACAGTGAAAAGGAGATTTTACATGTTTATCTGTCCAGCAATAGAAAAAAATGGTATGGCCCTACCAGCTTAATTAACTTACTCCACCTTTGTACGTTTTCTACAACAGACACATAAATGTACACAACCTTAAAGAAAAGATAATATGGTCTTCACTCTCAAGAATGAATGAATTTGCTTTTCCTTAAATTTTTTAAAATTAAGAAGTGCAAGGGGACTAGATCTTCCTAGGAAATTACAATTACAATTTCAGTACCAATCGCATTTACAAAAGAAAAAAAAGACTTTCCTTACATATACTAACTTTTAGATCTGAAAACATCTGGATGCCATACACTTAGGTAGGAGATTAAGTTTATAGTTTTTTTCTTACAAAGATATTATTTCACATTTAACAGACATTATTAACAAAGACTGCAAATATTATTAACAAAGACTGCAAAATCTCTTAATATCTCTATTAAGATGTTCCAAAGCATCACTAGTTCTCATAAACTGCAGTGCATTACAATAAACCAAAATAAAATATGGTTGATCAAACTGATAGTAGTCAAAACTTCAGACAACCAACTTACATTCATGCTAACAAAAAATAAACATCATCATACACAGGAGTGTTAACTAAATGATCTGTGAGATTTGCGAGTGTTTTTCATCTCCTTTCTTGTCATTATTTGATTGGATATGGCATTTACGGGAAATGAGTGAATGAATGGGGAAAATGATACAAGCCACTGTCCATTCCTTGGTTTGTGAACAACAGTGCAGTGACATCTCAGAAATCTTGCTTCTGAATGACCTCATTCATAACAAACATCTCTGACTAACTGTGCTATGATTTAACATGTAACAATTAATAACAGTATCAGTACATATAAAATAAATGCCCAAGGGACCTGCAAGTTTCCCTTCCAAATAATACTGTCACACTTCTCCCCATTGAGCAAAAAAGTGAAACAAATGATTTTATCAAGCAAGCTGCACGAGGGAGATCTCTTATGTTATCTGTGACCCTGATTACCAGTTTATGAAAATTGCAGTCAGTTCTTTGCTGCTCCTGTGATACACATCTTACATATATTCTTGTAACAATTACTTATGGCAATATGGACAACTAAATTTCTGAAATAATACAGATCCATGTGTATGTCTTTACACGCACACACGCACACACGCACGCATACACACGCATACATATACACGCACACATATACACGCATACTCACTCACTCACTCACTCACTCACTCACTCACTCACTCACTCACTCACTCACTCACTCACACACACACGCACACATGCACACACACACACACACACATTTTGATTGAAATACACATGTGCCATATGTGTGAATGTCTGAGTGCATCTGTTTGCAGCAAGGTATGTATGTATGTCAATGTATAAGTGCTGTATTTAGAAAGGCTCTGCCTATGTTTGCACACTCATAGTAGCATGCATGTAAGGTCATGTTTTCATTCATGTACAAAGCAAATACTGAGAACCCCAGACAGGTTCCAAAACCAAAAATCACAAGTGACCACATATCCATTTTGTATAAGGTATCTCGCAATAGTATTCATAAAGCATTACATAAGAAATCTCACCAATGAATACCTTTAGCTAAAGTTTAGGCCTATGGTGTCTAAGTCTAATATTTTTTTTATTGACAACCCCAGTGACTTCTCTAATAACCTGGTCCTTTTGTATCCCTCCTGAGAAGAAGTGCCACTTACCCATTTCATTTGCTAAAGCAACTGCATCTTAAGGTCAAGAATATGCATTTTTTTCTTTATTTGTGTCCTCTACCTTGTCTAGAATCTAAAACATAATATTTGCATCACATGGATCTCATAGTATGGATTAAATATCTTATTCTTAAAAAGTTCTTTGGTATAGTAATTGCCTTCTGTTATTTCAGTCTCGTAGCTTTTACTTTTGACAATCAATCTTCCCCCAGAATATCACCTAAGATATAATAACAATTCTACTGTCTTTTTTATCAGTACTATTAACCAAAAGTGGCAGCATTGCTGGTAAAAAAATCACAGTAAAGCTATTCCTACTGCCATTATAAAATCTGATACTTAAAACCAAATCCCTTTGAGCACAGAAATATCAGACCTCTTTCTGTAAATAGTCTTAAAGATTGAAATTAATGGTAGTCTGTTCATTATGAGATCTATTCCCATTCTGTTCCTTAAATAAACAAATAAAATATTGAAAAGGATCATGGTAGCAAATGGCAAAATTTAACATCTGAAATATTATATATATTGCTGTAATTACATACTGTTGAATAGTAATGTCCATAATAGTCAATTATACCAAAATGAAACTAAAGAAGGAAAAAATATGAATTCAGTCACTAACTC